CCCCTCAGTTCTATTCTTCACACCAGACAATGTTGGGGTGCAGCAAGTCTAATTGGTGGGGAAGAAAGCTGTATCAGCCTAAGAAAATAAAGAAGTTCTGCAAACTGTTAGTTTCACATATGAAAATGGAAATGAAAGCAACAAAAATCATAAAATATTTGGGTCTTGGGTGATCTGATTCAGAGAGTTGTTTTTATTACATGCACTTGTTTTGCTCTGTGAAGTGTAACCAGAAAGAAGATGACAGTGTCTGCGTTCTCTGCTTTCATGACAAAAGCTGGCAGGTTAACCTAGTGGATATTTTGCATTGATGAATCTCCATGAATGTTAATCCTTGTGGGGCCTTACAGAACTCATTGCTTTTTTTGGATTGCCCTTGCTGTTCTTTGAATAAACCCTAACAGTGAAAAGTGAAAGATGTAAACTCTCCGTGAGCCATGTGAACCCGATGGACAGAAAACATCATTTTGTTCATCTGTCTGTTCTGTTATCAACACAGACAGCAGAAGCTTACTGCTCAGCCTGAACACGGGCCAAATGGATTAATTGGTGCTAATATAATTAGTAAACACTGGGCAAGGTGTCGAGGGAAAATACACGCATCTCTTGTTCTCATTCTGAACCAGCAAACTGCTGAGTCCCATCTCTACCTAACCCCAAGGGACCTCTGTCACTCACCGTGAGTATACATCTAAAATGCAGAAAAGCTCAGCGAAGTCTATCAGAAGAATAGTTTTCATACTGAACTCAATATTGCCATCTAAAAACCTCAAAGCAGACAGCAGTGCGCCTTCCTTCCTGCTGCTGGTGGTTAGTTCCGACTGGATGAAGAGTTCATGGATCAATCAGCATTGGATAGCTTTTCCTTTCCTTATAGTATCGCTGGAGAGCACCGCTGGAACAACAGATCCACAGGCAGATCAAAAGAAGAAATTCTGTGAACCTTGCTAACTCCAGTTTTGCCCCAACCATTGACCCCAGTGCTGACAATTTAAAAAAGGCTGGGTAGTCAGACTCCTACTGTTACCGAGCTGCTATTATCTTTTTTATTTTCCTCTTTTCTTATGAGCACCAAAAGAGCAATGTGAGAATCCAAACAACTGAAACAAATTCAATATCTTTGAGCTGAGAATGGTTTAACCTCAGGGCTGATTCCATGAATTTTACAACCCACAGAATTTACTACAGGTGGGCCACATCGGCCAGTGTTGGATAAGAAATGCCACAGATCCAGAATGAGCTTAGTCCAACCCACAGATTCTACAAAGAGATCTTCTGAGGGACCTCAGAATGCTTTTGCCTTTCTCATTCCTCTGGAAATTTGGCTGCTTAAAACAAACGCCTCATGCCCCCCCAGTTATTTACTCCATCTATTCCCTGCTTTCCTGACAGACTGTGCCGATAGCCTTTAGAGTGCTCCCAAAGCGGGAGCAGACATGCTTGGACAGAGCTGGGATTCATCACTCTTGCATGTTCAGCTGTTAGCATTCATAGGTTGGGGGTGAGTGCTACAAGGTCTCCGAGTGTGTAATTTCCATCAGCTCCGTAGGATCCCTCCACACAAGAAAAGCCTGTAGAACAGAACTGCAGGCATTCTGCTCAGAAAGCCTGAGAGCACGGGGGATAATTGATTTTCCTAAATCACAGTTTAAACCTATCCTTTGGAAAAAAAGAAAAAAAAAAAAGTCTGGCTTTGCTCAGAATCAAGGCAGCTATCATATTATGAAAAGCTCGATGAGAGCAAAAGTAAAAAGAAGTATCACCCAGCTGCTTCATTCCCCGAGTACCATCCACCCTGTGCATAGAATGAAAGAGGAGTCCCCTAAAATAAAACCCAGCAAATGATTGTGTAGAGATTATGTCCTATTACAAATGTACCAGGGGACAGAAAGAAGTGGCATGAGCAAATCACCAGCTCCACCAGCAACTTGAAATTTCATATCCTCTAACTTTCACATGACTGGTTTTGCAGCCTTAGCAGAGGTCTTGTGATATAATGGTTAATGTTGAAAATTCACATGTCCATTGTCTGAGAATTATGCTGCCATAATACTGAGGAATAGGCTTAGCTTGGCTTGAATTACTTGGCCTCATGTATCTGGGGACCTCTTCTCGAATATATTTGGTGAGAGTGATGTCTACACGCCTGATTGGAGAATTACCCCCGGGGTCAGAACTATTTCTTTTGGATTGAAATCTTGTATCTCATGGCAATGGACCATGGAGCTCAAATGAAGCTTTTGTCACCTGCACAGTGACTTTCCATGAATCCATGTTGCAGAGGTTTAGGACATTTTAACCCTACAGAAACAGTAATTCCCCGTGAGACAGGAAGCTGTTCTCATCCTATGGGGGGAAACTATAGCACAGAAGGACTGGAAAGATACAAAGCTCTTAGCCTGGGTTTCAGGTCTTTTGCATCCTGAAACCCTCGAAGAGCTAACACTTGCATTGCAGTACCCATTAATGTGTCTGGACAAATACATTCATATGATTCATCACACAAATAAATATTTGGCTGGCTTTCTAATTCCCAGATTATTTTTTCAACCGATAATAACAATTCTACTCTGCAGAGCAAACATACCCCAAATCCCAAGTATTCGTAAGAGGAAAATGTTCCAGCCAACCGACACGTACATAGATCCTTTTGAAATTCTCAAGGACTTGTGTTTTGTTTTGGGAATGTGTAACTATTGATGAAAACAAATTCCTATAAAAGCAAAGTATTTCTAAATCCAGGTTTGTAAGCATTTCCTGAGCCATAATTTGCTGTGCAGAGCCAGAAGCTTTTCCAAACTTAATTTTATATTGTGAACCAAAGTAACAATCTTCAAACAATCCCCAATTCACCTAAGTATTTGGATGTAAACATACCATCTAAATATACATTATGAATTACTACTGTAAAAATGACTTCATTTAGCTATCAATGCTTCTGCATTTTCAATACTGCAGTGGAAATACTAGGTTATTGGCTGTCATTGTCTACTAGTGACTTATTTGTTCCAATGTCATTTACTGGAGCCGCAGAAACTTAGCTGCTTTCTTTTCCCAAAATTGAAATATTTTTTTAGCTAACAATGATACATTCTCTTTTTTGCACTCCCACCATCTAATGTATTAGACCTTGTTGAAGTTCATAAATAATGATGCTCACCCCGCTTGCTGAGCTTGCTGTGTTTTCCTGTTGCTGCACTGAAACCTGAGGAACACCCATACAGTATCTGGCAGAGCAGGAAGGAATGTCCTGTGCAATGCCTAAGAGTAATATCTCTGCTGATTTGCCAGGACTCCCAGTGCTGCTGGTCATTAATCTTTCTCAGCCAAAACCAGATGGGGCTATTAGGCAGGCTGGAGTAATTGGGGAAACTGGCAAAATGCGAAGGAAATGCATTATCTTCTGGATAGAATTGCATGTAAAAATGAGAACATTAAAAATGTATTTTTCACATTTAATTGGACGATGTACGATTATACGTACCAGAAAATAATGTGCAATATGTGTTTTGTGCAGGGCATTTATAAAACTGTTCAGCTGTACTAGGGCCTTATTTTCCCCTGAGGAGAGAAACAGTAGCTACAATTCTGACAAGGTTTTTGTGCTTTTCCCTCTAACACAGGACTTACTCTGCCGCAACAGCTACTGCAAACAACACTACAAAGTGCCTCCGCTTGTCGGAGTAAAAGGCAAATGCAGTTTATGATTTACATACAAACCACATGAAGCCTACCAGGTAAAAAATCACTACTTTAGGAATAATGTGAGCATATCTGATATGCAGTCTAACAAAAGTGATGGAACTGCAGGTACAGCTGCTAATTCCTTTATGTCACTGAGTCCAAGATGATGATTACAAATAGAATAAAAATTGCAAATTATGAAGTGGAACCAGATTACTCACATAGGAAACTAGCAAGGCTGGAAGGAATTACTGAAAGTAGGATTTGGAAAAAAATCTGATAGATACTATTTGCGATAAACAAAGACATTTTCTAGGTCTGCCAGGTAGGCAAATGGTAGATGACCCTTAGCCAGAAAATGCTAGGATGGAAACTACAGCTAAACATTTTAAGGTATATACTGTGACAACAGAGAGAAATCATGGAAACATATTAGAGGGTTACAATAAGACATTAAATAAAGGCAAGTGTTTTGCCCAAAACTTAAACTTGCAAAGCCTGTTATATCAAAGGGAGAAGCATGAAAACAAAAATAGGAGGATTGGGTGCCAGCCAGCACATTATTATTTGGAATAATAATTATGTCTGAAATGTGGTGGGATGTCAGGATGTGCTGGTAAATACACAGTTCAGGCTCTGGTGCCGGAATGGGCTTAGGGGACTGAAAAGTTTGCAGCGGCTCACACGTGTCAATGTTTTGGAGTGGAGGGGGAAAAGGGGGACACAGAACATAAAGTGTCAAGATAATACCCCAAATTAGAAGAACAAAATAATTTTGTGGGATTTTATTTCTGATCTCTTGACTAGGAAGAGGTTAGCATTTAGGAAGGCTAAAGAGGAAAATACAAACCCCCAACCTAGTACGGTGATATTTGATATAAAAATTTAAAAAGAAAACCCCCTTTTTCCTTTTAAAGAAGAACCAATGGCCCTAAATAAAGAGAAAAAAAGCCCTGAAATCCTCAGATTAAAAATGGAAAGGGCTTATAAATAGCCATGGGGTATGGTATTCCCTTAGATAAATGGAAGACAAGGAAATGCTGATATGACTAAATTGGAAATTTTAGAAGTTATTCAGGCCAAATAGGAAACCTTCAGAGAATGGAAATCAAAAGTTTGTAAAGCTGAAAGGAAGGTATGTAATAGCTAAGATGGAGTTCGAGCAAGCTAAGAGGGAATTTGAAGAGCAAATACTAGGAAGGTAAAACTGAGAATACACATTTCCTCAGTACACCAAAAGCAGAAAACCAGAGATAACCGGTAGGCCACCCCAAACAATAAGTAGAAGAAACAATTAAAGACAATAAGGACATTGCCAAGAATCTAAATGATTTATTTGCATCAGTCTTCACCAGAGAGGGTGCTGGAGTGATATCTAAATGAGAGACTCACACTTTCCAAATATCAAAGATAAGGAGAGATCATAGGCTGAAGACTCAAGAGAGAAGTTGGTGGAACAAATCAATAAATCAAAGGCGTTAAGTCACCAGGTTTATCTGATATTTCTTGAAGACTTCAGGAGAAAACTGAGAATTAAGTAACAAAGTTGCTAGCAAATACCTACTACAGCAGAGGACTGGAAGACAGACGGTGTTATAACCGAACTGGGGATTTTTGGTGGTGGTGGTGGTGGTGGTTTTTTCACGGTGTCGGAGGAGCCCTGGCAGTTACAGACAGATATATAATCCCAATTTGCTATCATGTAAATTGGCTGAAATGTGTTAAAAAAACCCAAGCCCCACACCTCCCAAATTATGAAGCGCATAGACAAACATGACACGACAGGTAGAAGTCAGTACAGTGTCTATAAGTGAAAAAAAAAGGGGCTCTTTGAACCTACTACCGGTCTTGGAGCTGGTTATACCAGCCCGCACACGTAAGCCCACCCAGGAGGTCCCATGACTCGCTGTGCAGACAGGCAAGTCGCAAATGATTACCTCCCTGCTCCCCCATCCACATCTCAGGACCACCGAGGGAAGAATAACGTTCATGTTGATAATGGCACATCCAAACAATGTACAGGTCCGTGCTACAGGTTATGCTGCTGCAGGGCAATCCAGTCCATCCTTGGGCAACATTGTTAAGCCAAGGAGAAGTGTATATCTGGAAATGAAAGTTTTTAATATATATGGAACATAATGGTGGCCACACCGAAGCTCTGACGGGAGATTTTATGTAGGTACAACCAGGGTTAGCCTCTTTTAGGATCAGCTTTTGATATCTTTCTGCACATTAGCTAATCAACAGGACTCTGTGCTGCAGGATTCTTCTCACTCTCAAAATGCACAGTGACCTGGACCCTTAATTGTGAGTAATATGGGACTTGGGGAGTTAAGATTTTGTTGGTTTTTTTTTTTTTTAAATATACCTTAGCCAGGACTGAGCACTCATTTAACTTCTTCCCAGCTCTTCCCAGCTTTTTCTGTAAATCTTTACATAAAGCCATTAAGAACAGAAGAAAAGCACTTTGGAAAATTATGCAGTGATGTATTCTTATGCAGCCAACACTCCCAGGGGAAAAAGTGAAAATTTCACATAGCCTCCCGCCCCTTTTTATTTCTTGTCAAAGATGTTGCCTTTTTTGGCTTTTCTTATATACACACAGCATGATGAACTGATATTTGTAGTTTAAATGTCTGGTTTAACCACGTGGTTTCCACCGTAACAGAAAGCTCTCACGAAATGTCAGGTTAGAAATAAAACCAAGCTCTAGAGGGATGAGGTGAGTAGGAAAGTAGAAGGTCCAGTGGCTGAAAAGCAAAATGGAAAAAAAGTGAGCAGAACGCAACGTGGATCCATTTCCCAACTCAGGAAGTGGTATTGGTACGCATGGTTGTATGGGGATTTCGGGTAGGGAGACAGACGCATTTCTCACTGAGTTGTTTCTGCTTTCTCTATTAACATTGCAACAGAAATTACAAATAGCCCTGCAAGGGGTAGTGCATTAAACCTCATCTCTTCATCCCATGTAAACACAACATTAATACTGAAGAATAAAGAAAACGATAAAAAGTCCAGTGTCTTGTTTTCTGCATTTTGCTTGTTAAGTTTCCTGTCCGCCCTCCAGCATACTCCTGTGTGTACCGAAGTTGTGAACTTGACCAGCCCGCGTTCAAGCAAACACTCACACTCAGATTCCCAACACATTCTTTTCTCCCCCTCGAATGGGGAGTTTATTCCTAACAGTTCTGCTCCTTTTAATTATAAACTCCTTTAACGAAGTAGTTCTGAGACCTTGCAGCAGGCAGCAGGAGAGCACCAAGGCCACTAGTTGCCATGTTTATAATCCCTGTTCAGCAAAGAAGTCCACTTAAAGCCCAAGGCCCAATGCTTTCACGGACAGCCATGCACTGAAATGAGCCTACAAATCAATATCCCCCCGCACAACGTGCCTTATAGGCAAAATCCAATTCTTGCCTAAAAAAGATAAAGAGTTACAGCCAGGCCCTTTATTTTACGAGACACACACGAACGAGTTGCTCTGGTGAAAACAGACCTTACACTCACAGATTTTGTTTACTTTTTGGCAGAGCTACCGATCTTCTTTACTGGACCACCAGAACTGAAGATGGGAAAGAAACACAAGGGAGACATTTCCTTGGCGAGGAAAGGAGCAGCATTTAGGACTGGGGAAAAGGCAGAGTGGGGCACAGGGGATTTTCCTGATAAAACAACTAATTTGAGAATAAAAGACCAACCGTTATCATGTGTACACCTAAACCAGTAACACACCTTCTCTGGAGTGCAGTATTGTATAAGCGTCGCCTTCATTTTCGAGGCTAATTCAGACCTTTGGCTCATCCTGCATTAACAAGGTCATCCATGTTAACAGGGCCCCTGTGAAAGTTCACAGGTGAAAGTTCCCTTTTAGAGTAGTGCAGATTTGAAATTCACAGGACAGCGACCCGAAGATCTTCCTTTACAGATAAAAAGCATGTCAAATTATTAAATAGCAACATGAATATTCTGAAGGTCTGTCTTTGCTCTGCAGTTAGGAGAGCAGTGTGCGTTCCCAGCCCCTGCCCAGTCCCCACCTCCGCAGCACGGCGGGCACGTGGCCGGCTCCTCTCGCTGACACCTCACGAATGCTAAAGCTGAAAGGCCTGGGGTAGTCGGGGAAGGGACGAATGAGCATAGTCCGAAGACATGTCACTTCAAATTTCTACTGTTAGAACTGCCAGGTACGATATAAAAACAGAAAGTATTTCTCAGTTCGAAGTTTGAAGACTGGGCCCCAAACTTTGAGTGGCTCCTCCCTCCGGTGTCCCTGTTTCCCGCACACGGGCTCCATTGTGCTAGCTGTTGTTCTCTGCCGTGAGATATTTGAGGGCTGCAAAGCCGTAGTGGCGCGACATATCCTGCTGGAACTCCTCCTTCAGAGTCTTGAGACAGATGCGGTATTGCTTGTTGGAGCGAAACTTGGTGATGTCGAAGCTGGGGGCGTGCGGCATGTGGATCATGTAGGCGTTGGGCAGCACCGTGAACTCGTACTCCTGGGGGAGAAAGACACCAGCTGTGAGGGTGTTCCCGAGCCCTCTTGCAATGCATCTCTCCTGTACCTCCACAGTCAAACATGCTCCATCATGTAACAGTGCAGTGTGGGTCTCAGAAAAAACAAACCCATACAGATATGCCAAATAAGCCTTCTTTTTTTAAAGTTGCTTTTTCTTGGTTTTATGGAACATCTACTTTCTCTTTCAAAATGTTTTTCTCCATGTAAGCCAAATAATGGGGAAACAGTACAAAAGGCATGTCTGAAGCCATGTCTGCAGCACAGATTTTGCAGTAGTGTGCTTGCAACCAACACAGCTGTGACTGCACACAGCATGAGTCTCAAGTGACCACGCAAAAGCATATTTTTGTCCCTACAATTTATCTTGTTTGGCATGCTGGAATAAGCTGAATTTACAAAGGCATCCATTGCACTACATACATTGCTTTGCCTGTGTACTAAGATACTTACAGCGAGAAAGCTGTCCAAAACAATTTATAAACCTGAAATGAGGGGAGAATATGGTATCTTTTATAGGTGATGTGTGAAAATGGACCTGCTAATTCCATATGCTTTGAGAAGGTTTTATGCAAATGAAGTTCCTCTTCACAAAGTATGAGATACTGTTTTAATTCCCCCTCTCCTCTAAAACTGCTTCACTAATTCTCTTTCTTTATATCTGACCAAGTTCTTTGACAATTTTTGTTGTTAAAAAATGATGGTTCATTTAAGTCTCAAATACAGCTGTTAGATATTTTCAATTTTTATAATTAAATATATGATCATTAGAGCAAAGCTAGACAAAGACTGATTCTTAGACAAGCTGAAAGTTCACTAGTGTAGGATGGGCAAGAACCAGGTATCTGCTCCTGCAAGGAACTGGGCATAAAAGGGACGTGAACCTCAGTATTCTGTAGCCAAGCAAAGTACCGTAACCACTAGGACGCTACCACTTTTTTCATATGGAATTTCAAAAAGTCTGAGTTGTATGGGATGCAAATGACAAAGAAACTTCGAAGCCTCCACAGGCAAATTTCCTATTGTCCTCACACAGTTTCTACTTACAGCTGTTGCTGTATTGACTCATTAACCATCTCTGCATAAGACACTGGGCAGGAAAAGAACAGCCACACAGCATGCTGGCTTTAAAAGAAATGGTGCACAGCTTCCCCTGGTTTGCAAAGTCCAGTCACTTGTAGATTTAGGAGTCTGTGCAGAGACACAGAATATCTGCAGCACAGAGGCAGAGTACTCCAAAATATTTTATTAGGGAAAAAGATTTTTGAGAGAGTACACACTTGTGCTAATAAACATGAGTGTTTCACCTATAAATCTTTCTTCATCTAACAAAATATGATCAACCCAGAAAAGACTGGAAGCTGCTGGGTTACAATGCTACCAGAAACCAAGTGTTTGAGCAACGTAGCCCAAAATGAAACCCAAACAAATGGAAAAAAGTGAGGAGAATGCAATGTGGATCCATTTCCCAACTTGGGCAGTGGTATTGGTGAGCCCAAAGTGCAGCTAAGGCTGCAGTGCCTTCCCAGAGACACCTATGAAACAGTAGCGTGTGTTGGACAGCTAGGTGCAGATGTAGCTGTATGGCTGCTCCTTTCTCATTATGGGAATGCCTGTTCCCTGCCAGACAGTGCTAAAGTGGTAAATCTTTGTGCCAAATTACAATGCTGTCATATATGGGAATGGACCCCTCTGAGCTTCTGTTTGTGGTGACAAATGTACAGCAAGAGCAAAATAATCTGATGCTCACAGGCAGAACTCATTTAGCTGGAAGAAGCTTAGAAATAATGGGGAACCAAACGCAAAAACAAAGACTGGCATGATGGAGTGAGGAGAGCTGATAAACTACAAACTACAAAATATGTCTCTACAGGACATTAAAACTAAGGGCTGAAGCTGCAGAGGAAGATGCATCCCCCTCATACAATCTTTTCTTTGTTCTCTGTTTGCATCTCAAGTCTGTAATCCTGCTAGTCAGGGACTGACTGTGCTCTGCAGTGTGAACTGTTCAGCACAGGGGTGCTCCCATCCCTCCGAAAGGCCTTCAGGCACATAAAGCCTTCCAAAAACTTACGAGTCTGCTGCTAATCAGCCCCTTTGAAAGATGCTGCCCCGGGGTCCTGGAAAAAGGATTGCTCACAGTCTAGTTCCACAATCACTGGAAGAGCAGGGAAAGGCTTCCTAATGACCCATCCCTACTACATGGAAACATCTGTTGAGAAAGCAATGCACTTGCAGGAACCTCTGTCCCTATCTCACAGGTTATAAATTCTTTAGACGGAGACTGTCATTATCTACGTATTTGTACAGCATCCAGCTTAGTGGACATCTGCATGCCCCCAGAATAATAATGACAATTATCTCCACGCTGTGTGCTGCTCTGAAGGACGGTAGTGGCACAGGCCCTTGGTAAGGAGTCTGAAAGTTCTCTTGACAGATACTGCTATTGTGAGGAGCAGTGAAATAATTCAATTGAGAAGCTGCCCTGCCTGCTGATAATGAAGCCAGCCAAGCAGCTGGCAGCAACCTGATCTGTGGACACCCCGAAGCAGAGGAGTGCCATAGGGGGAGGTAGCTGTGCGATCCCACGTCCCCTCCAGACTGATTTTCTGGGAGAACAGGCCAATACCCATGTTGCTACAGATGAAAATGAAACTTCTTTTCAATGTGAGAATGTTTGTAAGGCTGGAAGAGTGAGAAAAACAATTCCCCAGAGTTAGTTCCAGCCCAATGGCCATTTAAAATATCTGCGCTATGATCAACTTTTAAAAGTGTTCCAATTTCCCATGTGTGAATCTATATACTGGGCAAATGTCTCTGAACAGAAGAGTTAAATCATGAGTGCTAGATGAGAGCTGCCAGTGGGAATGTAAGCCTTGTTACCCATATTAACAAATAATAAATCATTACACTGGCACTCTCCACAACTGATGGTTAATTGAATAGTATTTGGAAAGTGCACTGGAAAATTAAAGTGTTATAGCAGAGCAAAATATTATTATTAATGATAATATAAGGGACAATTTTTTTCTAATCTTCAATAATTTTTTATCAAGATAAGTAGGTACAAATTTGTTGGGAATGCACTTCTGCAAACAGAGGGCAAGTATTCACCAGCCCAAGGTGACCGTGTGGTTTTGTAAGCAGAAATAGAAAATTACCCTCCCCTGTATGTGCCTGCACACAACTACACTGTAGCCCACACCCCAGAGACACAACCTCCCAGTAACTTGCTGCATGCCTTGTGCTGGTCTGCTTCACATAAACTGGTAAGAGGTAGGCAGAGAAGGATCAGCTATATTCCAGATCCATAGCAGAAGCTAGCATAGGAGGATACAGATGGCCAAAAAGCATGGGTTTTGGTTAGCATGAAATGCTAGTTCAAAAACTGGGACTGAAACCAAACTAAAAAAACCCCAAACAAACCCAAATTAAAAAGAAATGCCATGACCCAGACCCTGCTGATTAGCACAGTGGTTAGCTTCACATCCAAGAACAGCAGGGAGATGCAAACCCTGCCATTTCAGTGAGCAGCAGCACTGGGCTCCCACGGAGCCCAAGTCGCTGCCAGCCTCTAAGATCTAGGTTGGTGGCAGGGACCTTGGCAGCTCTGAGAGCTCTAGTGCCAGTCTGGGACTCTTGAGCTTTCTCTGCATCCTTATTCTTATATATTCTGCCCAGCAGCTCCATCCCAAGTCACAGATCCAAGAGGCCGGTAGCCCAAGGATCAAGTACCTGGATCCTCTAGAGTCTGCTCCACAGCCAGAAACTTCATCGAGTTAATATCTTCATTAATATCTTCATCAATGACATAGACAGTGGGATCGAGTGCACCCTCAGCAAGTTTGCAGATGACACCAAGCTGAGTGGTGCGGTCGACACGCCAGAGGGACGGGATGCCATCCAGCGAGACCTGGACAAGCTCGAGACGTGGGGCCCTGTGAACCTCGTGAGGTTCAACAAGGCCAAGTGCAAGGTCCTGCACCTGGGTCAGGGCAACCCCCGGTATCAATACAGGCCGGGGGATGAAGGGATTGAGAGCAGCCCTGCCGAGAAGTACTTGGGGGTACTGGGGGATGAAAAGCTGGACGTGAGCCAGCAATGTGCGCTCGCAGCCCAGAAGGCCAACCGTATCCTGGGCTGCATCCAAAGAAGCGTGGCCAGCAGGTCGAGGGAGGGGATTCTGCCCCTCTACTCTGCTCTGGTGAGACCCCACCTGGAGTACTGTGTCCAGCT